CTAGTTGGTTCTTTATCATAACATTGAGGGTCTCATTAGATTTGTTGAGGATCTCATTAAGATTATCAGCGGCTTCTAGACAGTTCTTGAGAGACCTTAAAAGTGTGGTTCTGAACTGAATATCCTCCATTGACAGTTTTGCCCTGTTTCTTTGTCTCCGCATTTTTTATGCTTTCTTGGTGCACCCCCTAGTGGTCTTTGTGTGCAATCCTCCCGTAGTTATGCCTTGATTGTTGTAGTTAATACTAGGGGGATTTGACCTCCAGGCCAGCTGGCTGTGAGAATCAGCTGTGTCTGCAGTGGGAGAACTTCTGTCCTCTAGGGAGGTGCTAATCTAGCCTTTGCCTGAGGCTATCTGGCAAATGGCTCTGCGCAGGGCTTGGGCGGGGCGGGTGGGTCGCTCAGGCTCGGTGATCAACAGGGTGGGCCAGAGAGAGCAGTTATGGCGGCTCTCAGTTCCATCCCTAGGGGCTCTGCCTCACAGAGTCCCAGCAACCGCTGCAAACCTCGGAGAGAAAGCTGCCTTCGAGTTCCAACTGAAGCCAGACAGTCCCGCTTCTCCCGTTTGAGTCTGGGTCCCTAGAGACTCGCCCGGATCTGGAGCTCAGAGTCTGAAACTCCCTCCCGATTGAAAGCACCAACTGCGCCCTCCGCCGCCAGCCCGCTCCGCGCGCACTCCGTACCTGAGTATTTCACTTCAGCACTGCGCCTCCTCTGAGTCTGGGTATGATATTCTCTTTCCTCCTAGTTGTAGAATTTCCACTCAGCCAGCCTTCCTGTGGTTCTGGATGATGTCCGTTCCGTCTTTTAGGTGTGTTTTGATTTGGTTGTTCAAGGCAGCAATCTCCGGCGTTAACCTATGCCGCCATCTTGGTTCTCCTTCTTGCTGGTTAATTTTATTATTTATTTATTTTTTTTAAAAAATATATTTTATTGTTTTTTTTACAGAGAGGAAGGGAGAGGGATAGAGAGTTAGAAACATCGATGGGAGAGAAACATTAATCAGCTGCTTCCTACACACCTTCCACTGGGGATGTGCCCGCAACCAAGGTACATGCCCTTGACCGGAATCAAACCTGGGACCCTTCAGTCTGCAGGCCAACGCTGTATCCACCAAGCCAAACCGGTTAGGGCCCTGGTGGTTAATTTTAATTAGGAATATTTTTAAACATACACTTGACATACCCATCATCCAGTTCAACAGTTAATAACATTTTGCACTTCTGCACCAACTGAATTAAATTCCAGAACATTCTGTCATTTCACCCTACATATCCTGTGTGCATCTCTTAAGGAATATGGACATTTTCTACATAACCACAATGCTATTCTCATACCTAACAATATTAACACCACTTTTAGTTTTTAGAGGATTTGTGTGTATGCGTGGAATTTGTTCCCTTTGTAGGGAAAGGGAGTGTTGCCTGAGAGGTGGGGGTTGTGCAGAAATCTCCAGGGAAGCTGTGTTTCCTACTGGGGAATGTGATGTGCTGGGCTCCATCCTGCTTTTGGTGGGTGGACCCCTTGAACCTGTACAATCGTGTTCTGTGGAGCAAAACAGCCCTTTATCCAGGATGACAGGGGAGTCACCTCCAAGCCAGTGACCGCTAGGATATATTTTGGACAGTATTGACTCATGAAAAATGCAAGACTTGCCATTTTTGGTCGACCAGTCCATTTCCTAAGAGGTAGCCACTTAGGCAGCATGAGGTCCCTGAGGTCACACTCACCAGAATGTCCTTGGTGCCATCGAGGATGGGGACCTGGAGCATTGGCCATGGAAGGGGGTGCTAAGTATTGGAATGGCCCTACTGGGTAGGGACCAGGTAGTCAAGCTGTTTAAACAACATTGTACCAGACAGTATCTTGGTTTCTGAAGGCCTATCCCAGTGAAAAGAATAAAACAGGTGACATGGAAAGACTAGATTTGCCAAGTTGGGGGGTATTTTCATGTTTGGTTGGTGTTTTGTTTTTGTTTTGTGTTTGGAACTAAGAACTCAAATAAGCACAGCCCAGCATTTGTGACCTGCCCTTTCTCAACAGGACTTTCACATTAACTTTTGTGATGGCCCTGTTTTGTCATCTCTGCCCAGAGAGACTTGTCTGGGTCTGCTTAGCTCTCAAAGTTTCCATCAAGGTCATGCATCCAAAGACCAGCTTTGTCCCCTTCTAAGAACTAGTCTTCTCTAGTAGGGTGCCTACTGGGAATGCTGCTCCTTTCTAAGGTGTAGGTGGTAGGTACCTCAGCTTCTTCCGGACCTAACATCTGTAGGGATCCACTAGGCCTCAGGCAGGAACGCTTCCGGTTCTTGTCCTGAAGAGTTTCCATTCCATACCCCTCTGAGCCTCTTGGCCTGCAGGCCTGGTGAGGGTACCCAGTGCTGCCAACATGGTCACAGGAGGATGCCCATCCTACCCCCACCCCCATTTTGCAGACATCACGTGGTCAGTGTCCAGGTGCTGGCTAAAAACAAAAAGGAGAAGAAAGTAGGTCCCTTCTCATTTCGACTCTTGAGTCATGCTGTGTAGAGGGACATGTCAAGGTGGCACAGTCCCCACTCCTTGGAGTCCAGTGTATTCTAGAAAGACTGAACCTAAGGTGGCCCCCGAGCCACAGAGCTCCTGCAGTACCTCCTCCTTCCTCCCTACTCCCCCCATGTCTGCTTCAAGGTCACAAGGTAGCCCCACTCCACATGTGCCCCCACCCCCAGCTGTCTAGTACCATGAAGGGGAAGGGGGTACAGCATCAAACTTGTCACTACCCAGACTGAGGGGCTTCTGTCATCAGCCTGACTGCCCAGTAGCACCTGGTCCTTGGGGGACTGCCAGCCCAGGATTGGCCCTCAAAGGAGCCATTCTTTTTTCCCCTCTTTTTGTGTTAATCCTTACCCAAGGATATTTTTTTCCATTGCTTTTAGAGCAGCGATCACCAACCTTTTGGACCTCATGGACCACCAGTTGGCTACTGCTGTTTTAGAGAGTAGAAAGGGGGGTGGAGAGAAACACATAGATTGGTTGCCTCCCAGCTAGTCCCAGAATCAAACCTGCAACCCAGGTATGTGCCCTTGACTGGGAATCCAACTGTGATCTTTTGGTGCACGGGCCAACGCTCTAACCACTGAGCAACCGGCCAGGGTTCATTTTTTGAACCATTTAAAGTGAGTTTTAGACTTCATAATGCTTCACTCCAGAGTGTTCCACATGCATCTCCTAAGACTTTCTACATAACCACTTCCACCCTTTCACATCTAAGACAGTTAATTGCAATTTTATTTGCTTTCTAGCACATAATTAAATTTCCACAAAAGATTTTGATTTTTTTTCTAGTAAAGGTGTTATATATTACATTTGGTTATAGATATTCTTGTCTCTTTTAGTCCACTTTTGTTTTTTTAATGGCATTGACTTTTTAAAAAAATACATTTTTATTGATTTCAGAAAGGAAAGGAGGAGAGAGACATAGAAACATTAATGATGAGAGAGAGTCATTAATCAGCTACTCCCTGCACACCCCATACTGGGAATGGAGCCCGCAACCTAGGCATGTGCCCTTGACCAGAATCGAACCTGGGACCCTTCAGTCCGCAGGCCAACGCTCTATCCACTGAGCCAAACTGTCCAGGGCATCATTGACTTTTTGAAGAGACCAGGTTGCTCATCTTGTAGAATATCAGCATTCTGTGTTTGTTGGCTGTCATGATGCTGTTGAATATACATGCCTGTGTGCCAGCTATTATCTGTAGTCGTGAAGTTAGGTCTGGAGGCACAACTGGCTTAGGCAGAAACCTAAAGGCTTTGTGGATGTCATATGCATGGCACTGGTCAGAGAGGCTGGGCTCCATTACTGGGGGAATTGTGACTGCAGGATCTTGAGGTTGAGAGGCTTTTCCTTGGTGATTGGTAAGTCCTGGGGGTGCAGGTACTTTGCCTCCATGCTTCACACCTGCTCCCCAACATCCTCCACTGTGTGGTTAAAAGCCTTTGATGATTCTTGCTTGAGTCATTTATTTTCATCAGCACTTTTAAAGTGATGACATTCCAATTCTATCATTATTTCTACTTTTATTGGCTTTCATTCTTCTATTCTATAGAAAGAATTTTTCCTCATCCATCAAGGATGAACTACACAGTTATCCTAAAAGATGTAGTAAATGCATGGTCCTTTGCCTTTTACTACCAGCTTTCAACATAAAGAAGAAAGGCTCCTGTGTTCCCTTTGTCAGAATGTAATATTTGACTTTCCTTCCTGCTTCCTTGCCTTATCTTAATTGGACCAAGGGCAGCTGCTCCATCAGCAACCTGGGCTGAATGTAGTTTCCTGATTTAAAATAATTGTCAGCAACTCCTGACCCTGATTTGAACCTCTAGTGTCTTGCAAGTCTCCCTGTTTCTCTCTCTTCACTCATGAGTTTCGTTTGCTGGATAAGGGAGAGAAATGACCCACCTAGCAAGTGCCAATTTTCCTGGAAATCCAGCAGGTCATTGGCCCCTGCCCAGGCTGATCTGATGGTGTTAATGGCCACTGGCCCAGGTCGGGAGAAGTTGGACTGCTGGGGCTGTGTGCTATGTGCAATGGAGAAATGGTGACGTGAGGGAGACAGGACACTGGCCAGGGAGGAGTGGTGCTCAAAGGGCACCTAAGAGGGGCAGAGAGGAGAGAGAAAACTGACCAAAGGCAGGCTGCTCTCTGGGGGTTCAGGAGTTTCCAAGTAAACAGTGAGGGGACCCTAGGTCCCCATCCTGCCAGCCCTTCCCAAGCCTTAGTTTACTTGTCTGCAATGTGGGGGTGACTGTGACACCTGGTGCAAGGGATTATTGTGAGCTTCATGCAGTTACTAAAGGGGACCACCATCCATGGCGGGGCATTAGTCCTCCCATCTTTCCTGCGTCACAGGTTAGGAGGAGGAAGAGGAAGTGAATGTGCCATGATGGGATCTGTGGGCTGGTGGGGTGTTTAGGGGAGGTTGGCTGCTCTCCTGACCCCACCTCTCTCCCTGCAGGTGTGAATGACAGAGGTGGTGCCATCCAGCGCCCTCAGCGAGGTCAGCCTGCGCCTCCTCTGCCACGATGACATAGACACTGTGAAGCATCTGTGTGGTGACTGGTTCCCCATTGAGTAAGTTAAGTGGTGCCCTCTGCCCTGCAGCTACAGATTGGAGGGGTGGGGTAATGCCCATGGATCTGATGAAGCTGGAAGGCTTGTGCAGAGGTGAGGATGTCCTGGAGGTGCCATGGTGGCCCAGAGTCACCTTGCCTGTCAGAGGAGCCCAGGCCCTGCTCCCTGACGGCAATCAGATCTTTTCCATCTCACTCTACCTTATGCAAAGAGTTCTCCAAAAGGGCTTTGCTAAGTACCACCAACTTTACTTACAAAGATGTTTGATGTACTGCTATTTGTAAGTCAGAAAATTGAGAAGCAACTTAAGTACCTTAACAGTAAAGAATGGCTGACATATATTAGGGTATCTGCATACAAAAATTAAATATTATTCAGCCAGGAAAAGTGAAATCTGTCATCAAGATATACTTGACAAGGAGAGTTTTTTAATGAGATATTGAGTGAAAAAAGTAGACTGGAAAATTGTATGTACCACAATTCCACTTTTATTTGAAAACATGCATAAGATAAAAGCCTATGAAGATATATACTATCTAGCAAAGTGTTTTTGGTGTTTTGGAATGGGTAGATTATTAGTAGCTACAAGTTTGTTTTATTTTGCTTGTCTGTATTTTCTCTATTTTTCTGTAATATGCACATAGAGCTTTTGTTGTGAGAAAAATAAGTACAAACTTTTAAAAATTAAAAATAAACAAGGTCCTGCTAAACATCATGTTTCTATGAGTCTTAACCTCTGGTTTCACCCACTGCCATCAGGAGAGGAACTTGGGTGATGCCAGGCCTCGTAGAGCCTTCTGGTGGGTGGTCAGTGGCCTTTGCAGAGCAGACCCAAGCGGAGCACCTCTCCACTGTGTCTCCACCCTCTTCCAGCTCTTGGTCTCAGGAAAGGCGTCCGGACTAACTTGTTATGTCCCAAACCCACAGACCAATAAACCCAGAATGTCCTGTTCCCTCACCAAAACTCTTTACTGGGGCTGAGTCATCTGTCTTTCATTACTGTCATAGGGCTTTGCATGAAACGTTCTCTTTTCTGCTCCCCTTGGGTCTTGAGTTTGAACTCTTCCAGCTGCCCCTCTAGGTACTGCTCTCATGGAGACAATGTCATGGGAAGTTCCCCCCCTCTTATCTCTCTATCTTGTAAAATAATTTTTCCATCAGAAATTCCCCATCCTGTCTGGATAGATTGCTGCTTTAAGATGATAATTCACTGAGAATGATACACTTTGGTGGAGACTAAGTGTTGGGCAGGCTCCTTATCAATCCTGGAGCAGTGGACAGAGTTGCCTCGAGTCCCCTGTGGGTCCACTGTCTGAAGCATGAGGTTAGTTGGACTTGGCCTTTGGCAGTTTCACCTAAGTTTGTTCTCCTCAGGTACCCAGACTCATGGTATCGTGACATCACCTCCAACAAGAAGTTCTTTTCCCTTGCTGCAACCTACAGGGGTACCATTGTAGGAATGATAGTAGCTGAAATAAAAAGTAGGACCAAGATACACAAGGAGGTAAGCATGTGTGGCAATGATGGGGCTGCCAGGCCCTTGGGACAGAATCACACTGCCTGCTCTGTGGCCCTTTCCCTTAGGAGCTCAGACCATGTATGAGACTCATATCCAGGTGGTTTCTTTCTGTGTGTACGTAATACAGTCATATGTACATTAAGTAACACATCCTAACTGCAGGCTTCTTTCTAATGACTGTCCTTTTGAAATTGGGAGGGGGTGTAAATGATTCACTGAGAATCTGCAGAGTTGTAAGGGTCTGTCATTTGTATTGGTGACAGTGTCACAGAAACTGCTAATACTGCTGTGATTTGTTAAAGGAAATGCTAATTCCAGTTACAGGTTAGTAAAAACAAATATTTTTTTTCCTGTTCAACTTCATAGACCCCTCCAAGATCTATTTAAGAACCCTGGAGAGTCTTTGGACCCTGAGTTAGCAAGTCCTGCTCTAAATGTAAAATGTGATGTTATGGTCACAAACACATTTTTTCATGTGGTTGACTTGGGTCAAGATTCTGCCTAGCCCTAGCCAGTTTTGCTCAGTGGATAGAACATCGGCCTGTGAATCAAAGGTTCCCAGGTTCGATTCTAGTCAAGGGCATGTAAAAAAAAAACACAGACAATTAAATCTTCAGAGTAAATAAATTAGAAAAAAACATTCTGCCTAATGATTTGGGTCATCTTATAGAGTGACTGAGTAGCATTTATACATAGGTATTTACAAAGGGGAAAAACCCCACCAACAACTGGCAACTGCTTCTATCTGTTGACTTGAGGCTATTTATTTAAAAGTGCAAGAAGGATATCTCTCCCTTTTGTTTTATTTTTCGAAATATATTTTTACTGATTTCAGAGAGGAAGGGAGAGGGAGAAAGAGATAGAAACATCAGTGATGAGAGAGAATCTTAGATTGGCTGCCTCCTCCTGGGGATAGAGCCGGCAACAGGCATGTTCCTTGACTGGAAATCGAACGTGATCCCCTGGTTCTTAGGTTGACGCCCAACCACTGAGCTAGCTAGGCAGATCTCTCTCCCTTTTAAAGACCCAACCCACTCAGGTCTACTCTAATTTGCCTGTAATTAGATTCTGGCAAAGTTTCTTTTAAGAGTAACTTTTCTATCCTAGCTTTCTTCTCATTTTTTTTCTTCCATTTTTCTGTGCTAAGATACAGCAAAAAAGGAAACATTGGCGTTTTCAGCAAGCATCAATACTTTTTGCTCTTTCACAGAACAAACTGCCCCACCTACCGTCCCCTGACTTGTTCCCCAAAATTCACTCTATGAAGCTCTTCCTGTGTGCCCCCAGCAACTGTCCAGCCCCACACACATGGTGACTAGATCTCTGTACTCCTTTGAATGTGTGGGTTTTCCCATGAGGGCAGAGATTGGGATCCTTTCCTTCTACTTCCTGGGTATCAGGAGAGCCTTTGCACTCTGGCACTTTTTCTGGCCCTGCTGAGAGGCAGAATGAATTCAACACAGGAAAGAGAGCAGGGGCTGTCAGAAGACATCAGCTGGGGAATGAAGTACCTGCTTTACCTTCCTGACCCTCCATGGGCTTCAGGTAACAAGAGCAATACGGATACCTCCCTGAGATTGAGTTTGCCTCTGTCCAGCTTAACTGTAATGTGGAGTGCTGGGGCCGGGGTCAGGGCCAGGAGAGTGGTGAGTAGGGACAGGGACAGGCCAACCCATGTCCAGCACACGGGAGCCACTCAGTGAACAGTGGATAGGGATGAGAGAGGCCAAGTCACCAAGCTTTCTTTCCATGGGGGAGAATCCACCAAGCCTTCTTTACAAAGTAGAAGAACATCAACCTCATGGTGGTCAAATTCACAACTCTCTCAGTCCAGAATTTTATCTCTGAACCAAGAGACCCACAAGGGTTGGTGGGCCATGGTGTGACACTCTGCTTGGTGTGGACAGCAGAGAGGCTACTCAGACTCCCCACCCTCTGTACTCTTAAGACCACTTGGAAGCAGCAAAGGATCCTTTAATTTAATTAAACTTTTTTTTTTTAAGATTTTTAAAAATTGATACTTAGAGAGAAAGTAAGGGGAAGGAAACATCGATGTGAGAGGCTGCCTCCTGCACATCCCCTAATTGGGATCAAGATTGCAACCCGGGGTGTGACTGGGGGTCAAACCGGCAACCTTGCTCTGGACAACGCCCAACCAGCTGAGTCACACAGGCCACAAGGCTAATGAAACTTTTAAAACGTTGTGTTTGTCTGGCTGTTTGATCTCTTGGTGTGTCAGTTGACACGCGTGAGCACCATATAGTGCCCACACAGCATAGTCATTTCCTTTTTACCATCGTAGCTTCACTTGTCTGGCATCAGTGTCCTTCCTTGTATGGTCTACCACCCTTCCAAAGAGAAGCGATTTTTTGTGAGTGTTCTTATTTTAGCAGAAAGGCCCACACCCTCTTGTTTCCATGGGATGGGGTTGACTCTCCATTATTCTCTGTTCTATCCCTTCCTGCTCCAGTGGCCCCCCCAGGTGTTGTGGCTGGGAGAGTCAGCACATGAGATATGTTCTGCAGTGGGACCAGATGCCTCAACTGTGAACCTGACTTTATTTCTGACTTTTTCTTTAGGATGGAGATATTCTAGCGTCCAACTTCTCTGTTGACACACAAGTTGCATACATTCTAAGTCTTGGAGTAGTGAAGGAATTCAGAAAGCACGGCATAGGTAAGGGGCGGTTGGAATAATGATTTTTGGCATATACACTCCACCACCACCACCCCCTGCCCTGCCTGTTGACCTTCAATTCAGCCCATGCTCTTTCCACACATTACCAGGTCTTTCTGTATGGCCTCGTTCCAAAGCTTACAAGATCAGATTACTAACAACTCCCAAAGGTCCTCATTACAGAATGGGCACCTTTTAACCACACCTGCTGACACGCACACACTACTTATATCTGGTCACAAGGTATGCTTGATTAAGAATAGAAAACATAATTGATGAAACAGTCCTAGCTCCCATGGATCAGATTCTTTATCTAATGTCTCCAACTTCCCATCCCACTCAGCCACAGCAGTCTTCATTGTAACCCAGGTCTGCCCATTCCACATTTTCCTGGGCTTAAGTTTACACTTTTTGTTGTCTGAAAGGCTAGTGAATCTCCACTGTGGATCCAGCCCCTGGGAGGGAACTATGCATAGTTCCCTGGACAGCCAGCGGTCTGCAGCTAATAGGCCCTGTCTGGCTGTGGGATTTTAGGGACTTTGACAGTGGATGGTTATGGGAAGTCTTTGATAGAGTGGCAGAGAGATCTGTAGAGATCTCTGAGAAGGTCACTTCCTTGTTTGCCTTATGCTTCCTCCTCACCTGCCCCGCCATGTGTGACTGTTGCTTCTTTGCCTACAGGTTCTCTTTTACTTGAGAGTTTAAAGGATCACATATCCACCACTGCCCAGGACCACTGCAAAGCCATCTACCTGCACGTCCTCACCACCAACAACACAGCAATAAGCTTCTACGAAAACAGAGACTTCAAGCAGCACCACTATCTCCCCTATTACTATTCCATCCGTGGGGTCCTCAAAGATGGCTTCACTTATGTCCTCTACATCAATGGTGGCCACCCTCCCTGGACCATCTTATATCCTTTTCTTCTCAGGGGTGAGAGACAGTGGCTTCCTAGCATCAGCTGGAGCTGTGGTTGCTTTCAGATGACATTCACAAAGCAAGCTCACAGGATGCATTTTTTCCTGATGAGATGATGTGGGTAGATCTGATTTGCATGTATTAGGAATTGATGGTCTGGTTGCAGATATTGGGAAAGCAGACATGCTCTGGTATTCATTGTTCCCTGGACTTGAGCCCAGTAGAAGAGGTGGATTTTTAATTCTCCTCGTCCAAGACCCACCATCCATTCGTCCATCTATTTACCCAATAAGTATTGGTTGAGAGTCTCCTGTTCCTGGTATGTGTGGGCTACAATAGTGAACAAAATAGACAAAGCCCCTGCCCTGGTGCGGCCTGCATGCTGGCAGGGAGAAGGCAGATGAGGGAGGTGAAAGAGTTGTTGCTATTTTGAACACTTAGTTCAAACCTTTCTTACCAGAATGTAGGGTATGTGAGTGACCCAGTGGTGTGTCCCTTCCCTGCTCCCTCCCTTTTAACTATCTCTGGCCCTAAACAGGTAAAAGGGAAGCTAGAAGACTTCTTAATAGTCATAGGGTGTGGCCCAGAAAATACTGTGTGTACATGTACCTGTGTGTGATTACTAGTAAATAAATGAGTCTAGGATTTATCCATTTCATAGGGAAATAAACGGGAGAGAGGTGGTACAAAGCCCACAGGTCTCCATGCTCATGTGAAGATGGGTCTCTGTGCTAAGGGCTTAACACTGTTGACCCCCCTATGTCACAGGAATGAGGCCCTGCCCCTCTGAGGACTGAGGGTAGGGGGAGGACCAGGAACACTTGCTTTTTGCTTTACCCCTCCCCGCAGCACCCAGTCCCTGTCTGTTAACCTTAGTCTGTGTGTCCATGTGCCTGAGGCCTCACCTGGAAGGGCCTTTTGTACGCACATGCTGCCTTTATTATTTTGCATAGTGGAGGCCCCTCCATCTGTGGAGGTTTTCCAGCACTCTGCAGAGGCTCAGTGGACTTTCGGCCTCCCTTGAGGACGGCATGCTGTCTGCACTCAGTCCTGCAGGTTGCTGTTTGGGCCTCTGCTGACAGTGCCACTCCAAGGGTGTGTGGGCAGGGAAGGCGAGTTGGAGTCTTCCTTAACAGAGTCCCACGGACTACATCCAGCACCTGGGTTCTGCTCTAGCAAACCTGAGCCCCTGCTCCATCCCACACAGGATTTACCGCCAGGCCCACAGCCTGCTCTGCAGCTTCCTGCCGTGGTCGAGCATCTCCACCAAGGGCGGCATTGAGTACAGCCGGACCATGTGATGCCAGCCGGGCAGCCTCCAGCAGGTCCCACCCCTTGGCGCCCTGCGGAGCCCACCTTCCTGGCCATTTGACCTCAACTGTGTTCTGCAGGGGAGCTGGCCCATCACCTGCCCCAGCTGCAGGCCCGGTGCTACATGGGCTCGGGAGCAGAGCGTCGTGGGGCGGGTATGCCCGGTCTCCAACAGGTATGCCAGAACAGGTGGTGGGGAACGGGATCAGAACTGAGTGGGATGATGGTCTTGAGAAATGGAGGCCTGGCACTTCCAACAATAAAAACAAGGCTCTGGATAGGCACCTGCTGCACTAAGGGCTGAGGTAGTTCCTGAGCAACTCTCGGAAATTTGAAGGAGGATTGCCCTAGCTGGTTTGGCTCAGTGGATAGAGCGTCAGCCTATGGACTGAAGGGTCCTGGGTTCAATTCCTGGTCAAGGGCACATGCCTGGGTTGTGAGCTCCATCCCTGGTAGGAGGCGTGCAGGAGGCAGCCAATCAGTGGTTCTCTCTCATCATTGATGTTTTATCTCTCTCATCTCTCTCCCTCTCTCTTCCTCTCTGAAATCAATAAGATTATATATATATATATATATATATATATATATATATATGAAATTTGAAGGAGGAAAGCAGAGTCCTGAGCCCTTGCCCAGAACCTCATCTTTTCCCTTGAACAACTTTTAAAAAAATAATGCGTTTACAGAAGTGGAAAAGGCACCAAAAGACCAAGCCCTTTCTCTGCCCCACCCTGCCATCCATAACCACTTATTGCCTTTCCAGGGGTGCCTGGGGCTGATGTCAGCGTTAACACCAGCGGCATCATCAGCTCACAATGAGGTTCCCTGAGGTGGGCACCTTATAGATGAGACTCTGTTCAGACATGGCCACTTCTTTTCTTTCTTTTCTTTCAAAATAATAGCTTTATTTTTATTATGATTATAAACATGTTACATGGTCATTACTTTAAAACTCAAATCATATAGAAAAGTGTGAAGAAAAAAGTAAAACCTCATCACTGAGAGAAAACCACTAATATTTTGGTAAACCTCTTTTCAACCTATTTGTATGCCTATAAACCTATACAGACATAAAGATATAGACATGGCCACTTCTGAACACCATGAGTACTATGGGGAGCCAGTCTCTCTCAGACCTCAGAGAACATCAGAGTTGGAAAGGGTCATGGGGACCCCAGGGCTCATCTGCTTATGCATGGACACGGCCTAGAGCAGATTGTTGATTTGAGCCAAGCTCACACAGCGTGCTCCATGGCCACTTGGGCTGGCATGCCCAGTGCCTTGATTTGTGCTGGGACTAAGGAACCCAGATGTCACTAAAAGGGACTGTGGGTCTAGAGAAGGGTTCACCCTTTGGGGGCACCCAGGGCCAGCAGTGGGTTCCTAGGCCGGACTTAGTGTGGGCATAGTGTTTCTGTGGAGACCTTCACCCCTGCTCCCCTCTTCTCTTTCCTGCAGGCTCTTCCAGCCCTCCTTCCTGCTCTGGAAACCTCTGCCCTTGCCCTGGTCTGGCCCCCATGTGAGTGCACCAGCCTCATAGGCTGGCCACAGTGTTCACTGTGGTCAGTTGCTTCTGCTGCCCTGGGAGTATGGGGGCAGGAGAGGGCTTCCTTCCCTGCACGTCCTCACTGGCCTCTTCCCCCGCACTGCCCGTTCCTTCCAACTCCTTCCTCCAAAGCCGGAATTAACCCCTGGGAGGGAGGAACCCGAGTGTTACGATAGACTTGGCCCTAAAGACACAGGAGCCTCAGAACAATGAAGGGGTGAAATAAAGGGAATGCCAAACCCTTGTAAAGAACCAGCCTCAGAAGCCTGGGGGGCAGGAGCAACCCCTACCTCCCCAGGAGGGGCTGGCAAGTGGTGGGAGGCTTTTCACCCAAGCACAGAGCTCTGGGGCTTAGTTCCCTGGCATGGTGGTCAGTTAATGGGAAGGTTTCCCACTCCTCTGTTGGCAGTCCTGCTGCCTCAGAGAGCGAGGAGCTACCCATCACATGCTGGATGTGCCATTCAGTTGAACTGCCCCAGGGAGCCGGGCTGAGGACAGGTGCTGGTGAGGGTCCCAAGGGCCTTCCCTTCCAGCCCCCCAGTTCCGTGAGATGCAGTTCTGAGGCCTGACCATATGCAAACAAGAAGAATTGAGTGTGGTGTTTGATCAAGTAGGACCTGGTCTTTGAGGCTGGGGCAGTCGCTTGCCTTGTGGTCCTCAGCCTCTGGGAACAGAAGAGGCTGTGTCAGTGCCAGGAAGCATGCATGTGGACATCACTTGCTTCTGGCGTTCCCTCCACCCCATTCCCCAAAGCTGCTTGCTCCCTGCCCTGCCCTCCAAAGTAAAGGGGGTTGGCAGAGTCATGCCCAGCATTGCTGCAGTGTCCTGGAGCCATCGCCACAGTGCACAGTCTGAGAGGGAGGAGAAGGTGGAACAACCAAGCAAGAGGGCCTCGGATTGGCATCCTTCCCTCCCTCGGAACTCCCAGCCCAGGGGCTCCTCTGGCCTTGCGGTGGGGGAAAGGGGTTTCTCGAGATGAAGGCGAGCCTGCGCAGGAAAACCGCCTCTCCTTCCTCGGCCACTTCACACTCTCACTGACTGGTCCCCACTCCGTGCTGACATTGACTTTGAGCTGAGGCCCAGCTCACTGTCCTCTCTAATCTGAATCAACGGTTATCATGTGGTTTTTATTTCTGCCCCATGGGGTAAGGGAAGAGTCTTCCAGAAGGTTCTCCTTGGACTTGCATAATTGAGCCGAGGCCTTGCCCTGCCCCTTCCTCCGTGCCCCTAATCACGGCAGTGTCTAGCCCAGTGTTGAACAGATTGTAGTGTTCTGTCTGATTACAAACAAATAAATAGACTTTAATTGGTCACATCCTGTCTTGCACTTTGGGCCATTCCTGTGGGGATTTGCCCCCTTGCTGGGACAGTGGTTTTAGGTGGCCCAGGAGCCGCTTGTTTGGTTGCTGTCTAGTCCCGAGGATGGCTTCCAGGTAAAAGGACCGATTGTGTCATTATCCTGCCAAAGAATGCAGTCCTGGGAAGAGGGTCTAGAGTCGAAAAGCACAACTGGGTTCTTTCTCTAAACTCAGAAGATCCTCAAGCAGCCGCCCCCGTTTGTTTAGGGGTCTCCTTGGCCAACCTTAGGCCTTGAGCTGGGGCACAGTCCTCTGGGGGTCGCTATCCTGGCTTAGAGAAGGCTCTATAGGTGACTCAATGCAGTGGTCAGGTAGGAACGCTGGGCCAGTGCACCTTGCCACAGGAGCCAGGGGGACTGGGACCTTTGGTCCAGGGCAACTCATCTTGGGAGCCTGAGGTTGGCCAAGTCTGGGATCATGTGCTCCCAGCAGTCTCTCCTTGGAGTTTCTGGCCACCCTGGCCATGGAGCCATGCTAGTCGCCCCTTTAGACAGATGAAAACTGGTTCAGGGGCCAGCAGTTACCCAGGAGCCTCGCAGTTCTTGAACGGCCCCTCCAAAACCTGTGTGTGTACTGTTCCCTGGACGGCACATCACCCAGACAGCCCTCCCCAGGGAGGTCCTGAGCCACCTGCAGAGCTGGGTGTCAGGGAGCCAGCCCATGGGGTTGTATGGAGGCTGGAGGCATTGAATGTTTCAAGGTCGGTGAACTGGCCTGGTCTCTGAGTCCTAGCAGCATCCTAGTGCTGTGAGTTACACCCTTGCTAATTGAGGCAGATACACCTTGTTTAATGGGTCAGCTTCAGGATTAAGGGGTGACTCCTTGGGGCCCTTGGTTAGTCATGTGGCCAAGTATTAACTTGTGAGGGTGGGTAGGGGCAGGGGTCCTGGTGACCGTGGTCCTAAAGGTAACTGCCCTTCCAATCCATCAGGCTTCAAGGATAGGCTCCCAAGGGCTGAGACTGGCTCCTGGTGGCCCAGTTCCAAATCCACTGGCCATTCAGGGAATGGGGTGAGGATGCCCCAGGTTGGTCAGGGTGCATTTCCACAAATGTCTGCTTGTTTGAGGCCCTGGGTGCTCCTTCACATCATTTCCCTGTCCCCAGCATGCCATGGCCATGGCTTTCCACTTGTCAGCCTTTTTGGAGTGCTTTTCAAAAAAGCTTTGGGAGGTTTAGGGAAGAACCGTTTAGAGATCAACTCAGCTGCAGCAGATGTCCTTCCTTGAGGGAGAGACTAGGCTGTGGTTTGTCTGCCCTCCATGCTTCAGCAAGGGTGGCTCAACGGGCTGAAGGATGCACTCCCAAGGTGGTTCAGAGGGCAGTGGTGGCCTCCCTGGTATGGGTTTGTTTCCCACCGTGTGGGGGCTCTTTATGTGGATACTGACCCCCCCCCCCCCACACACACACACACACTAGAAGCCACCAGGCTTCCTTCATGCCAGAGTGATGCCATTTTACTTCTACCACATCTATTGGTAAAGCAAGACCCAGAGCCAGTCCCAAGTCAAGACAGGAAGTAATACACAGGGTCAGACCACCGGGATGTGGCCCAGTGGAGGCCACCACAGACTGGGCATCCTCAGATCTGAACCCTGGGGGCAGTCTGGGAGGAACCCAGCTCTCCTGGTCTCCAGAATCATAGATGCTATCACGTGGGTATGGCAGGAGCCCCCCAAAGGGGCTTCCAACCCGGGCTGCCAGGACTGGAAGTCAGCCAGACAGTGAGGGTCACTGAGGCCAACCTGGGTCTTCCCATCCTGTCCCCACAGGGCTGAGGCCTAGTGACATAGACCAGGAGTGATTCTACCCCCAGGGGCTATTGGACACTATCTGGAGACACTTTTGGTTGTCACAGTTTGGAGGAGGGAGCTAGCTGAATCTGGGTAGAGGCTGCTGACACTGCTCAACATCCTACAACACCCCTGATGGCCCCCACCACAAAGAATGATCTGGTCCCAAACAGCAACAGGGCCAGGACATGGAAACTTGCTCTCAGAAGCACAGGTGCCAAGGGGCTGTTTCTCTAATGGAACTGGCCTGATGACAGACAGAGGGACAAAGGTGCATGTGGGCTCTGGCTTTTATTGAGATTAGACCAGCGGGCTCCCCAGCCTCTTTGGGAGCCCCTCTCTCACTCAGCCCGGCCTCCCAGGTACAAGTGGTTTCCTTGAGTTGGAGCAGGCTGCAAGGGCATGCCCAGGCTTCTATTTTTTTCTGTCCCTCCCTCAGGACCTTCTCTTCCTCCCCTCGAGTTTTCCCAAGGTTGGCCCGGGCTCTGGTGCTGGGCACCTGCAGGTGTCTCCATCTGGAGGGGCTAGTGGTGGGGCTGAGCCCTTCCTCTCTGGACCTGCCTCCTCCGCCACCTCCTGGGTCATCTTTCCCCTCCTGTCCTGAGCTGTGAAAACGGCACTCGGATCCCTACGGCCTCTCCAGAGCCCCAGAGCAGATTCTCTTGCACAGTGGACAGGTGGGCTCCTCTGAGGCCTCCCAGGATCTCTTGGGCCGGAACCCCAAGCCTTCATGGGTACCAGGCTGGGAGGGGGCACCCTTGGCTGGATCCATGCTGGAACTGGATCCTGAGGAAAGGGGAGGGAGGAGTTACTTGGAGGGTCCAAGGGGAGGCTGCCAGCCTATCTTATCCGATGATGCCCCCTCCAGAACCTGACACCTTTAAAACAGGAGTGGAGGGATGGGGCTGGGGGGTCTCTTTAAAGATAATCCACAAGTGAGGGAGGGAGGAGGAAGAGGGAAGCATGGTTCAAGTTCTTCATCTGACCCAAACCCTTCATTTTATTAATGGGGAAAGAGAGGCCCAACCAGAAGTGGGGGAGCTTGTTGGTTGCAGAGATGGCACAGAAACCCTGAGGCTTGGGAGTGGGGCAGGGCCCATCTGCATCCGAGTCTCCAACGCACCCCTTCCCTGGGTCTCTCCCTCCTGCATCACCTAGACAGGTGCTCACCTGTATTTCCCAGGCTGTCCCTGGGCAGTTGAGCTTCCAGAAGGGCTGAACGGTGGCTGTTACCTGGGTTCAGAGTCCCCTGTGGCAGGTCCAGGGGCCAGGCCATGCCCTCAGGCCATGGGAGGCAGCCCCCAGCCATGAGCCGGCCCAGCCAGTGACTCTCACACTGGCCAGCAGGCTGCATGTGGCCTGGTAGGTAGAGTGCCAGGCCCCGGAGGTGGCGCAGCCGGAAGTTCTTGGGCTTGCTTCCCTGGGCACTGGGACACTGCTGCTGCTGGGCCCCCAGCCCTCCTTCGTAGATGTTGGATGGTGTGTCCGGGTGACTGGGGAGTCCTTGGGCCCAGCTCACGGAATCTGTGGAGGGGAAAGCAGGAGGGTGATGTCCAGCAGGCCACAGCAGCCACGATGGGAAGACAACACATCACATGCTCATGTGATGGGCTCCAAGTCAGCCTGCCAAACCTCAGCTTACCTGTCTGTCAAGTGGACTAAAATCCTTGCCTCCAGCCTCCCCTGACCCAAGGTATTAATCTTCTCTCCTCTCCCAGCCAACAGGGAGGTCTGAGAAGCCTTAGCCTTGGCACCAAATCCTCTTTCAGGTCTTCAAGTCCTCCTGCCACCTTCCCCTTTTTTTGGTTAATCCTCACCCGAGGATATTTTTTTCCATTGATTTTTAGAGAGAGTGGAAGGAAGGGAGGAGAGGGGAGGGAAGTAGGAAAGAGAGAGAGATGTGAATGAGACACATTGGTTGCCTCCCACAGGCGACCCAACTGGGCTGGCGATTGAACCTGCAACCCAGGTACGTACCCTTGACCGGAAATCGAACCCATGAGCCCTCAGTGTATGGGCTCTAACCATTGACCATACTAGACCCATTTTCCCCCCTAACCTAGATCACTGTGGTATAGAAATTTCACAGTGGGTTCAGAATCACACAGTCCAGGTCACATGTCCTGGACCAGTGGCCATTCCTCTCTCCCAAGTATACATGTCCCTGGTGGCTTTGGGCCCACGTCAGGACAGTAGTACATCTCTCTTCCTACCATCCCTTCCCATAGCCCCACACCTTCTCTTATGTGCAGCTCAGAGAACGCACAGACCAAGGCTTCCATTGAGGGCCAGTTTGGTGGGGGAGGAGTGGCCCAGCCTCCTGTGCAGCAGGGCTCTGCTCTCCCCTGCCTAGGGGGTGGGTCTACAGGTTTCCCTTAGCAACCGGCTGTGTGATGTCACAGGGAAGCCTTCCTGGACCCCCTGAGTTAGAGGTAGGATTAGGCCCTGGACAGAGACAAGGTGGAAGGAGAGCAAGGGAACGGGGCAGAACCTGAGAGAGGTTCCTGGTCCCTCTGGCTTGGGACAGGCCATACAAAACAGACTCAGCTCTTGCAGGTTGAGGAGTCACTTCCAGAAGGACAAAGTTGGGCTGTGCTCTTTCTCTGGAGCACTCCCATGCTTTCCCCTTTCTTATTTTCCCAGGCATGTTACCTTTGCCTTTCTTCTAAGTTATAAAGGCCCTTGTTTTTTTGACTCTATAACTTGTTACCTGAGACTATGCAGCCCAGCTGGCTCACTTTTTCTACCTCTGTGACCTTCTAAATAAACTTTTGCTTGTAAAAGGAAAAAAAAACAACATCCAAAGTTGGAGGAGGTATTGTGCTACTTGATCTCAAACTATACTACAAGACTATAGTAATCAAAACATTGTACTGCCATAAAAACAGACACACAGATCAGAATAAAGAGCCCAGAAATAAACCCACATCTATATGGTCAATTAATCTATGACAAAGGATGCAAGAATATACAATGAGGTAGGTAGTCTCTTCAGTAAATGGTGTTGGGGAAACTGGACAGGTATATGCCAAAGAAATACACCTAGACCACTTTCTTACACTATATACAAGAATAAACTCAAAATTGATTAAGTGTAAGACTTGAAACCATAAAACTAGAAGAAAACAGGCAGTAAACTCTGACATTGCTCTTAGCAAACATTTTTTGGATATGTCTCAATCGGGCAAGGGAAACAATCCAACAAAAAATAAATGGGTCTACATCAAACTAAAAAGTTTTTGCGCAGCAAAGGAAGCCATCAACAAAAAGACAACCTACTGAGTGGGAGAAAATATTCACCAATTATACATCGATAAGGGGTTAATATCCAGATATAAGGAACTCATACAATTGAGCACCAAAAAGATTTAAAAATGGGCAGAGGACCTGAATAGGCATTTCTCCAAAGAGGACATACACATGGCCAATCCTATATAATAAAAGCCTAATATGCTAAGTGTCTGGTCGTTTGGTCGTCTGTTCAACCAATCAAAGCATAATATGCTAGTGATATGCTAAGGCCACTCAACTGCTCGCTATGACGTACACTGACCACCAGGGGCAGACTCTCTGACTGGTAAGTTAGCTTGCTGCTGGGGTCCAACCAATAGGGACTGAGGGAGACAGACTGGACATGCCTTAGAGCCCTCCTGTGGTCCCTTCCCACCTGGCCAACCTCTCACCTCCCTCCCCGGCCTGATCATGAGCTGATGGGTTCCCTCGACCTGGCCTGTGCCCTCTTGCAATCCCACCTGAGGGATCCCCCACCCCTGAGTGCACGAATTTCATGCACCAGGCCTCTAGTAAGATATAAGAAAAGATGCTCAATGTCACTAATCATAAGGGAAATACAAATTTAAACTACAATGGGACATCACCTCACAATTGTCAAAATGGCTGTTATTAAATCAGCAAGTGTTGGTGAAGATTTGGGGAAAAGGGAACCTTTGTGCACTGTTAGCAGCATTACAAATTGGTGCAGCTACTATGGAAATAGTATGAAGTCCTCAAAAATTAAAAATAGAGCTATCATATAACCCAGCAATTTCACTTCTGGGTATTTATCGAAAGACATCCAAAATACTAATTTGAAATGATATATGCATCCCTATGTTCATTGCAGCATTATTCACAATAACCAAGATATGGAGGCAACCTAACTGTCCAGTGATAGAAGACTGGAAAAAGATGTTGTATATATGGGGACTATTACTAGGCCATAAAATGAATGAAATCTTACCATTTATGAAAACATGGATGGACTCAGGGTATTATGCTAAGTGAAGTAAGTCAGACAAAGACAAATGCCATGTGACTTCACTTATATGTGTAACCTAAAAAACAAAGTAAATGAACTAATAAGACAGAAACTCATAGATACAGAGAACAAACTGATAGTTGCCAGATGGGGAGTTGAGGGACATGGTTAAAAAAAAACAAAAAAACGAAGGGCTTAAGTACAAATTGGCAGTTAACAAAATAGTCATGGGAGCCCTGGCTGGGTGGCTCAATTATACCAAGGTTGCGGGTTTGATCCTTGGTCAGGGCACATACAAGAATCAACCAATGAATGCATAAATAAGTGGAACAACAAACAGGTGTTTCTCTCATCAGTTTTTAAAAAGACATGGAGATGTAATATAAGCCTAGGGAGTATAGTCAATAATATTGTAGTATCTATTAGTGGTGTCAGGTGGGTACTAGACTTATTGGGGGATCACTTATAAGTTATATAAATGTCTTATCATTATGCTATACACCTAAAACATAATATTGAATGTCAACTGTAACTGAAAAATTAATGTTAAACTTTCAATTCTATCAATTCACAGATAACATGATCTTACATAGAGAAAAATTAGTTCACACTCAAAATTGTTTGAGTCACAAAATTGTTTGAGACAGTTTGATATCAGCAAAGTTGCTAGATATAAGATCAACACAAAAATTGTATTTCTATACACTGGCAAAAGAACAAAAAGAATAAAACAGGAATAAATTTCACCAAGGAATTGCAAGATAATACTGAAAACTACAAAACATTGCTGAAAAAAATAAAGACGACTTATAAAATGGAAAGACATTCCTGTTCATGAGTTGAAGGCTTAATATTGTTAAGACAGCAGTACTCCCTAAAGTGATCTACAGATACTTTGAAAATCCCAATGGTGTTTTAGCAGAAACAGGAAAGCTGATTCTAAAATTCATGTGGAATTACAAGGGAGCCCAAATAACCGAAAACAATTTTTAAAAAGAATTTAAATTTAACCAAAATAGTATGGAACCAGCATAAGGATAGACATCACAACCAATGGAACAGATTAGAGAGACCAGAAATAAAGTCATATATCTATGGTCAGTTGATTTTCAACAAGAGTGCCAAGACTATTCAAAGGGGTAAAGAATTTCTTCAACAAATGGTGCTGGGGCAATGGATAGCCACATGCAAGAGAATGAAGTTTGACCCCTATCACACCATGTACAAAAATTAACTCAAAATGCATCAAAGACCTAAATGTAAGAGCTAAAAACTCTTAGAAGAAAACATAAATCTTCATGAGCTTGGTTTTGGCAATGAACTGTTAGATATGACAAAACTACAAGTAAAAGAAAAACTAAATTTGACTTCATAAAAATTTAAAATGTTGCTGCTGCAAAAGGCACTCTCAAGAAGTCAAAGCTTACAGAATGTGATAAAATATTTGCAAATCATATATCTGATAAGTGTGTAGTATGCAGAATATATAAAGAAGTCTTATAATTCAACAACAAAAAGACAACCCAATTTTAAAATGGTCAAGTTGAATAGATATTTCTCCAAAGAAGATATACAAACTGTCAACAAGCACAAGAAAAGATGCTCAACAGTATTAGTCATTAGGGAAATACAATTTAAAACACAATGTGATAACTACTTCTTACTCATGAGGATGGATATAATTAAATTTAAATAAATTGAGAAATGTTAACGAGGATGTGGAGAAACTGGAATCCTCCTACACTACTAGTGGGAATGTAAAATGGAGGTGGCAATAATGTACAAAAGTTCAAGTTGGTACACATCCTTTTAAGCTGTTCCCACTGTCAGGCTTTTTGTTGTTTGTTATTTTAGCCATACAAATAACTATCTACTGGTATGTTATTGTGGTTTAATATGGGCTTTCCTAAGGACTAATAACCTTGAGCATCTTTTGCTTTGCTTATTATTTGCCATATATCTTCTTCTTTGAAGTATCTGTTTACATTTTTTGCCCACTTCCTAATTGGATTGAGTTTTGAGAGTTCGTTATGTATTCTGGATAAAACTTTTCATCAGATTGTTTGTGAATATTTTCTTCTAAACTGTGGATTACGCTTTCATTTTCTTTGTTTTGTTAATATTCACCGGAGGGTATTTTCCCATTGATTTTGAGAGAGAGTGGAAGCAAGCGGGGAGCGGGGAGAGAAAGAGGAGAAAAACATCAATGTGAGAGAGACGTGTTGGATTGGTTGCCTCCTGCACGCACCCAGGCTAGGGATGGAGCCTGCAACCAAGGCACGTACCCAGGACTGGAAATGAACCTGGGACACTTCAGTCCTCAGGCTGATGCTCTTATTCACAGAGCCAAACCGACGAGGGTTAGTCTTTCATTTTCTCAAAGTACCTTACCCAACTGGTGAGGCTCAGTGGTTGACCATCCACCTATGAACCAGCAGGTCAGGGCTGGATTCCTTCCGGTCAGGGCACATGCCCAGGTTGCCAGCTCTGTCCCCACTGAGGAGGGGGAGGGTGTGTGTGTGTGCAGGAGGCAGCCAATCAAAGATTCTCTCATCAATGTTTCTCTCTCTCCCCCTCTCCCTTCCTTTCTGAAATAAATTCATTTTTAGAAAAGTGTCTTGAAGAGAAGTTTTAACTTTATATGAAGTCCAGGTTACTTAAAAAATTTTTTGGTGTATCTAAGAAATCCTGCTTAATCCAGTCATAAAGCGTTCCTGTAAGTTATCTTCTAGAAAAGTTAGTTTTAGGTTTTTTTTTAACTTAAAAATACTTTATTGAGCACTTGATATAAACAGTAGTTTCTTGTAAGGTGACAGTTTTATATTTAGGTAACTGTGAAGGTTCATTTACTTGGATTCCCAATTAATTGTTTCAAACCATTCATTGAAAGACTATTCTTTCTCCACTGAAGTGCTCCGTCACCTTTGTCGTACTGACCATATGTGTGTGGATGTATTTGGGGGCTCTCTTTACCGTCCGTGCATTTATGTGTCTGTTACTTCGCCAACACCGACACGAGGGCGGAGGACATGGCAGCGGTTGGCAGTCCCCCTCTCCCATCCTTCCAAGCTCAGCTCACTTCATCTCCCAGCTCTTCTTTTCACCTGTCCTCCTCCAGGGCAGCCGAGGGAAGGCTCCCAGCTGAGGCCCCAGCGGATCTGGCCGGGAGTTGCGGCGCGGTCCTCACCCTAGCCTTTTGGTCCCTCAACCAGGCACACAAACGCTCCCCGACGGAGGGCACGGTTACCAGGACAACCGCCGGCGCGCGAGGACCCAGACCGATTTCCGGCCTGTTGTGAGACCAAGCCCGGTGCGCATGCGCAGTTCCAGGCCTGACACGCTCTCGCGATACCGTGGTCAGCCCCGGCATTCCATCTGAAGTTCGGGGTTATGCCCTTTAAACCTGCGGTCTGTGTTTGGGGGCTTCGGACGCGGCCACAGCTAGCAGTTTACACATGCCAGAGAGAAGTGTGCTGGGCAAGGGATACCCACCCAGCTTCGTGACAGTATCGTGTGTTCTTTCAAGAGGAGTTGAGGAGGAAATGGGAAGCAGTATGTAGAACGTCTAGCATAGTTTCAGGTACATAATAGGTGCTTAGGAAGTGTCAGCCAGTGTCAAATGTCTCTCTGCGAGATGTTGAAGTGGGGTAAAGGGGGCTCGGGTTTGAAGCTTCCGGTCGGGCGGTAATCCCGCACCTCAGTCCTGGATTCCGAGGCATCCCCAAGCCCGCCTCCCCTTCTCTTGCGCGTGCGCGCGCAGTCCGGCCGCTTCGCCTTCCGTTTTGTTTGGCCCCTGCTGCGCGCCGTAGAGAGCTCCGTGCGTTGCCATAGAGACACCTGAGCACTGAGTTGGGGGCGCCTGAGACTCCGGGCTAGTGGGGACCAGAGCGCCATGTCCTTCCGCGACCTCCGCAGTAAGGCAACCCTGCCCCTTGTGACCTGCGGGCCTCCCAAGAGACAGGGACTCCGGCCGCCGGGTTCTCTCCTCTGGGCCCGGCCGAGCGCCTCTGGCCTCTGCGGTCCTGGCCTCTGCCGCCCCCCCGTCCCGGGCCGAGCGCCCCGGCCCTGGCTCAGCACTTTCTGCGGTGATGGGAAGTTTTGTATCTGCCACTGGCTGTGGCTCGTGCGGCTGAGGAACTGAAGTTTTATTTTTATCTGATTTTGATTGATTTGTATAGCCACGTCGCTACCGTATTGGAAAACGCAGAAACCGTTTTGGGGTTGAGTTAGGTTAGAGCCTTGAGAAACGAACAATAAAACCGAGGGGGGTGGGGGGGCGGGACGGCTGAATAATAATTGCAGCTGTCATTTTTTTTTGAATCTTTACAATCTTCCAGGTGGTAAATGTTCTGTGTGTGTGTGCATCATTTTATTTACTCTTCTAAACACGCTTCTGTATTTAGAAATGAGGAAACGGGCACAGAGAGGACTCACCCAGGTGGTAAGAGTTAGCGCTGGAGTTTGAATTCAGGTTGTTTAACCTCCAAAGCCTTCATACTTTCTAAAGGGGCTGATGAGGGAAACGGAACCCAGATGCCTTTGCTAGGAGGCTGGGGACGTGGAAGAATGGGTATGAGAATTAGTTACTACTCCTTCGGGGGGACGCCTGTTACATTTTACATTCACTCTCTTATTTTAGCCCTCACTTTAACAGTGATGTAGGTGGCATAATACCTGGATTTGAGGCACAGGTAGGTAAACTATCTTGCTTTAGGCCACACAGCCAGAACTGGGTGGAACCAAGGATGAGGACATAGTGCTGTGTGAATCAGATCTTTTGCCTTTTGCCCTGGCAGGGTGGCTCAGGTGGTTGAAGCATCCTCTGGTGCACCGAAGGGTTGTGGGTTCGATTCCAGGTCGGGGCACATACCTAGTTTGTGGGTTCGAGCCCGGTTGAGGTGTGTACGGGAGGCAGCCAGTCCATGTTTTTCTCTCTACCTCTCTTTTCCTCTCTCTCTAAAACCAGTAAAGAATATTCTCAAGTGAAGATAAAAAAAAAAAATCTCTTGCCTTTTATACAGTGTCATTTTCTGAATCAGCAGCTGCTCAGCTAACTGGCTCCACTTTCATAGATGTAGCAGGGGATTGCCAGCGTGGTGTGATCTGTAAGGCCAGTTTTCGAACTAAATTGCTGGTACCCGGAATTTCACCGTTAAAGATGACTCCTTTCAGTTATGAGTTGCTCTTTTTCTACAATGTAAATATACAGGAAGAGGCATCATCACCTTTTGTTAATACACCTACTAGCACCATAGTGTGAATTATTCCCTTTGGGATTTGAAGGTTCTTGGTGACTATATGTTGTAGGGACAAGTGTCTCCTTCCTGGTAGTTTAGAGAGAGCACTCTGCTAGGGGACATTGAATGGGGTTGTATTGGGAAGAGTGTACAAGAAGGGGATTTCTGAACATTTTGACATTAAATGAATGCTATACAATTGTGCAATATATGGTAAGACTCTTACTCGTTTTGAAAATGCTGCATAATGAACAGAACTTAACTATTGCTTAGTGGGAAGAAGTATTTAGGCAATGCCTGCCTGTGTGACGGGAAGACTGCTGCTTTATTTTCCATCACTCTATTCAGATTTCCCAAAAAACAGTGGCAGAGGCCCTCAGTGCCGCTGCTCTTTTCTCTGCTCATGCCTTCTCTTTTGCGATCTGGTGAAATCCAGCCTAGCCTCTGATGCCTGGGTAGCTTCTTTGTGACTGTTATTGGGACATTTTGAACATCTACCTTCAAGAAGAGCGAGGACAGACATAAATAGCCTTGGGCACACTGAATATAGATCTTGGCATATTGTTGGAACTCAAAACATGTTTGTTGTGTTCATTTCCAAGTTCTGCCTAAAGCTTAGTGACAGCCACCTCCAGTATAAAAAGTGTTAGTATTACTGTTTTTAAATCTGTTTTATAATAAATCTAATAGTGCTCTATAGTTCAACTATTCTTTTTAAGATTTTTCCTAGTTACAGTGCAACTAATCTTTAAAATTTATGTTAGTAAGTTCCTATGTGCTCACTAAAAAAAAAAAGACAACTCAGAAACATGAACTTTACCCTACCACCATCACCACTCCCCATAATATCACTGTTAACATTTTAAAATATTTTTATTTATGACATTTTATAAGACCAGGTATTTCTCATTTTTAGTGGTAAGAAGATATTCAAGAGAGAGAGAGATCAAAGAGAAATTAAATTCACACCCAATCTCTAAACCCCATTTTAATGTACAGCTTCCACTTCTCCCAGGGCACTTTAACTGTTTCTCAGGAAGCAGATTTTTTATTTTTTATTTTTTTTAATTAAATCTTTATTGTTCAGATTATTACATTTGTTCCTCTTTTTTCCCCCCCCATAACTCCCCTCCTCCCAGTTCCTGCCCCACCCTCCGCCCTCACTCCCCACCCACTGTCCTCATCCATAGGTGCACGATTTTTGTCCAGTCTCTTCCCGCATCTCCCACACCCCTTTCCCCCCCAGGAATAGTCAGTCCATTCCCTTTCTATGTCCCTGATTCTATTATAATCACCAGTTCATTCTGTTCATTCTGTTCATCAAGTGAACCTTGATTCTTAGGTTCACTTGTTGATAGATGCATATTTGTTGTTCATGATTTGTATCTTTACCTTTTTCTTCCTCTTCCTTTTCTTAAAGGATACCTTTCAGCATTTCATATAATCCTGGTTTGGTGGTGATGAACTCCTTTAGCTTTTCCTTATCTGTGAAGCTCTTTATCTGACCTTCCGTTCTGAATGATAGCTTTGCTGGATAAAGTAATCTTGGTTGTAGGTTCTTGGTATTCATCACTTTGAATATTTCTTGCCACTCCCTTCTGGCCTGCAAAGTTTCTGTTGAGAAATCAGCTGACAGTCGTATGGGTATTCCCTTGTAGGTAACTGAGTTTCTTTCTCTTGCTGTTTTTAAGATTCTCTCTTTATCTTTTGCTCTTGGCATTTTAATTATGATGTGTCTTGGTGTGGTCCTCTTTGGATTCCTTTTGTTTGGGGTTCTCCGCGCTTCTTGGACCTGTAAGTCCATTTCTTTCACCAGGTGGGGGAAGTTTTCTGTCATTATTTCTTCAAATAGGTTTTCAATATCTTGCTCTCTCTCATCTTCTGGCACCCCTATAATTCTGATGTTGGTACGCTTGAAGCTGTCCCAGAGGCTCCTTACACTATCCTCGCATTTTTGGATTCTTTGTTCATTTTGGTTTTCCGGTTGGGTGTTTTTTGCTTCCTCGCATTTCAAATCTTTGACTTGATTCTTGCGCTCCTCTGGTCTGCTGTCGGGAGTCTGTATAATATTCGTTATTTCAGTCCGTGTATGCTTAATTTCTAGTTGGTTCCCCAATATAAGATCGAGGGTCTCATTAGTTTTCTTGTAGATCTCATTAAGTTTATCGGCGGCTTCTAAACAGTTCTTGAGAGACCTTAAAAGTGTGGTTCTGAACTCTATATCTTCCATTGACAATTTTGTCCTGTTTCTTTGTCTCCGCATTTTGTTATGCTTCCTTGGTGCACCCCCTAGTGGTCTTTGTGCGCAGTCTTATAGTTAAACCTTGATTGTTGTAGCTAATACCAGGGAGGGTTTGACCTCCAGGCCAAGTGGCTATGAGAATCAGCTGTGTCTGCAGTGAGAGAACTTCTGTCCTCTAGGGAGGTGCTAATCTGGCGTTTGCCTGAGGCTATCTGGCAAATGCCTCTGTGCAGGGCTTGGGCAGGGCGGGTCACACAGGATCAACAGAGTGGGCCGGAGAGAGCAGTTATGGCGGCTCTCAGTCCTGTCCCCAGGGGCTCTGCCTCTCTGAGTCCCAGCACCCGCTGCAAAGCTCAGAGAGAAAGCTGCACTCGCTCTGACCGAAGCCAGACAGTCCCGCTTCTCCCGTTTGAGTCTGGGTCCCTAAAGACTCGCCCGTATCTGGAGCTCAGAGTCTGGGACTCCCTCCTGATTGAAAATGCCAACCGCGCCCTCCGCCGCCAGCCCGCTCCGCGCACACTCCGCACCTCAGAATTTGACTTCAGCACTGCGCCTCCTCTGAGTGTCCGTATGCGTTTCTCTTTCCTCCTAGTTGTAGGACTTCCACTCAGCCAGCGTTCCTGTGGTTCTGGGTGATGTCCCTTCCGTTTTTTAGTTTCACTTTTGAAGTAGTTGTTCAAGGCAGCAAACTCTGATGTTAACCTATGCCGCCATCTTGATTCTCTTCAGGAAGCAGATTATTTTAAGTTTTAACTACTTTTTAAATTCCCTCTTAGTTGATAAATAGTCCCTAAAACTGTCAATAGACTGGGAATAAGGAAGGAAGGCAGAAAAAGTAAGTTAATTAGTTGTTGTTTGACAATGAATTGACTGAATTGTATTTTACCGTGGACAGATTTTACAGAGATGATGAGAGCCTT